GATAAATTTTATGATTGCGCAGAACCTGTTCTAAAGACTGCTAGATAATACTCAAGCAAAATAATTGAAGAGCTTTCACATGTATACAACTACAATAATTGTAAATTTCGTGTCTAATTTTCTGAACTTTTGTTTGACAAAGTTGGATACATATCAGTGAGTACAATTTTGACATCCTGTACATCTTCGCTTTCCACTCTTCCTCCACTGGTTTATAAAATCTCTTACCAGCAAACATTTCCAAGCAGGTAAACTTCGTAAACCGATACCAACTTTTCCTACAGGCCTTCTCCTCAAGAAGTTCATATCGCTATCTGTTCTTTTAGCGATTTAAACCCTGCAGAAATTGAACTTTAAGTAGTTATTGAACCAGATTTTGCTCTTCACCGAGTGAACTGATGCCTTATCATAATTCAATGGCAAAAGAGCTTTTCGAATATTCCCGTTTTGAAAATGCTAGCATGAGCAGAAATCCTTCAATGAAAAAAGTTATGACTTATTTTTGATTGGGTAAACTAAACAATAACCTGTGAAAAATCCAGAAGTTTATTTTGCTTCATTAGGAAAGGCCCCGAATATCAGCAAATGCCTACTATTGAAAATTACTGATCAGTTAGACTTACTCGAAAGTGCAAAGCAGTAGATTGAAAGAACATGTATAACGTAGGAACGGAACGAAAATAAGAAACGGAATAGCATACATAAAAGTGGATGATAATTGAGTCATTTATGCAGCGTACCCTTACAGCATTAAAGAGCATGCTGCCCACAAGCATTACCCTTCAAATTTATTAGTACGACTAGTGTGTAAGATCACAGCATGCCTTCCTATTTGTTTAGAAATGATAAGCTATTCAAATGTGTTATAACTTACAAAAGTCTGCAAACTTGCTGTAGATGTAAACATGTGGGCAAAGAAAGAGTTTCTAGAGCAAAGTTAGAATGGACAAATGGCTGAGAGTTGAAAGGCTGCAAGTAAGTTCCCATTACAATCAAAGTGTTCTGATCCTCAGATGTTTCACCATTCGCTTTTGCCCGCTCACTGAGACGTCGCTGGATCATTACAAGTAAATCCGCGTCAATATCACGCTCTTCGAAGTTGTCAGAGGGAGCGTAATGTTGCAGAATTGCAATCACCTAGATAACATGAACGATTTCTCAGACAGAAAAAGTAAAAAGTTTTAAGTTTTTGAAGTAATTGTGAGAAACAAGCAAATACCTGACGTGGTTTCAATCTGCTTGTCATCTCTCCGCACAGGGTGTCGATGTTGGACTCATCTTTTCTGCTCTGAAAAACTACTCAATCTTATCGAGAAACTTACTTTTGTAGTGATAAACAATATAGGAACACACTCTTATGTATAATGATCAATATAAGGAGAAGCAAGGAGGTAGTCAAAAAAACCTGCAGTAGATGACAAGCTTGTACAAGTGGCTCCAACGCATCACGATATGCTCCAAGACCTTTGGAGAATAGCCAAGATTGGATTTCAGTGACATTATGCCTGAAAACTTATGCATCTAAAATGTTTTAAACCTC